CGAGAAAGGCGGCTTAATTGTTTTCCATGTTGCTACATTAACAACGTTTTAGGTATTATACGCTAGATCGATGTCCCATTCCTTTAGCTAGAATTTTCATTCGTTTGGACTCAAGAGTATCAACTTACTTTCATTTTTCAAGCATGACTAATTTCATTTTGAAATCATTCCTTAGGATATCAAGACACTGATTTTGATGGCAAGTTATTGGGTATGTGGGTTAACAAGGGACAAATTAAATGGATGCGGAATAAATATTTCACCGGGACAAAGGAAACTGGGCCCAGCCGTGACCACACAACCGGAAAAGGTTAGGAGAAGTTACATTGAAATTAACTCCACCTGATAAACTTTGGTTTAAAAATCCTATTTAAGTAAGGTACGATAAGAGTGCAAGCTGCTTTACTCTAAGAAATCGGTGGCCGATTGAAACTGTTGGCTGCGCGACCGTTGAGTTTTGGACCAAACTGAGTTTATCGAAACTCCATTGAAGCCGTAGTCCTAAATCATTGTAACCTCCTTTACTAATTCTTTGAGTTCTCTAATTTTGGATTCGAGATTATTTTCAATGAAAATAATAGTTAAGCGTGAAAATGAAAGTTTTTTGGCGGTATTAATTATTAAACTTCTATGCCTGGCCAATACATGAAATCAATAATTAGGCATTAATAGTCAGAATCAATGGATATAAATCCGGAGCAATACATGGCATTAAGAGCATACTTGTGATCTGACCTCTCTATCAGGGTGTTTAGCTAACTACCGATTGGCCTGCGAGAGCCATTGATTGGCAAATAGCAATCGATATCAATCAACAAATCGATCAATCCTGATTAATTCTGATCGTCGACCTTCCTCAATTTTTAGGCCTAGTGAACTGCTATAAAATTGATGAATAAAGAAACCTTGCCTCATGTGTTCATTTTAATAAGTCAGCTCATTTGTTTTTAGGCTACTATCTGTACATGGAGTCATCCGCTCCGGCCCGGCCAGGTAACCAGGCTATTCTTGAGAGCCAGCCATGGCTGTCAGCTCCAAAAGGAGGCCAGTGCATGAAGTTCTTTTACACCATGTATGGTAAAACAATGGGTTCGCTTATAGTCAAATTGCAAGAGTTTGGTAAGCGTGCTAAGAACATTTTCACAAAGACAGGCGATCAAGGTCTTCATTGGATTGGAGCCAAGGTCAGCCTCAATATTCCAGAGGGAACAAAGTACAAGGTAATACAGTCAAAAGATATGAGTAAAGAAGACACAACTAGAATGTGGCAGTTTTTTTAGGCAGTCATACCAATTAATTAAAAGTGTAGCCCATCAGTTTTAAAAAATACTTATGCAATCAACAATTATTTCGTTCGTATTTATTCAGGTAATACGTTGAAGTCAATAAAGCAATGTTTAGTGAAGGGGTTATCTATCGCGCCTGGAGAATGCTCTTACCTATATGCTCTATAGAGCAATAAATCACAGTTTATATCATTTGCTTGATTGCTTTATGAGTTTTTTTGGTTTATTCCGTTAGCTCAAAATCATCGCCCGAGTTGGAAGCACAGGATACTCTGACATTGCCATTGACGACGTATACATCGATCCTGGTCTTTGTTGTGAGTAACAGTATTTACCTTTTGTAGCCAACATTTGTTCCAAAAAAAATTGTTAAGCCAGAAAATTTATTTACGTTCCAATGGCATACGAGAAGATTATCCCATCTCATGGATAGTCTTGGCATAGCTTTACAGAATAGATCCTTAGACGTAGTTAAACACTCAAATATCGTTCGGCTAGGAGAACAGAGCCGTGGTCTGTCATGACATTTTTCAAAACACTTCAAAATGAGAAGTTGTTCGTACAGTATGTTTTTGTACTTCGTGCCATGAAAGAAATCCAAGTAGGAACTTCCATGAAAACCACTTGGGTCAGTTATGTTTGGAGTTCAAGAAGTGTGGTTATTGACTCGAGGCCTTTTTATTTATTTATTTATTTTTTTTTACCTTTTGCCTTTGTAAAATTCATTGTTTTTCCACAGCATGTCAAGACGACTATGTGTCGTGTTCAAAGTGGAAGGCTGCCAAACATTGCGAGAAAAATGTTCAGTTTATGAGCAAACATTGTGCAAGAAGCTGTGATACATGTGGTAAGATAGACATTCTATCTTAAGTTAGCTAAACTAAGAAGGTATATGGCAATTTTAATATTTAATGTTTGCAATGAAATGCAGTCTAAACCAATAACTGTAATGGTTTAGATTGCGGTTAGTCTGAGTTCCGTCGGCACAGTTCTTTTTTCTGTATATCAAGTTGACATAAATTTCATTGTGATAAATCTCATGTTTAGCCCCACATAACCCTCATCAATGGAAGAAGTACAACAGCAACTTTGACCTGATTTTATTCCTTTCTTTTAAAATGATTTCTCCAGTAAATGGGTACCTATTTTTTTTTCAAAGTTATTTGGAGTACAGAATAGGTCAAGCGTCAAGCCCTCTTTAATCCCAACTCTCACCATAAATTGATCAAGTATCTCAATAAATTTCTTCGGAATCATTTCTTACGATTCATTTCCAGAGTGCAAAGACGACAACTTTATGTGCCCAGCATGGGCTACACAGCCAAACGGTTGTTCTAAAAACTCTGACTACATGCGTTCACATTGCCAAAAGAGTTGCAGAGTTTGCCGTAAGTACATCAAGTATCTTTCTTTTCATATCGATTTGATTGAATAGATACTTGAATTAGGATATGATCCACTGATCACTTCTCATCAGTACACTCCAAAAAATATTCTTTTCACATGCACAAAGTTCTTAGAGGGCAATTAAACCGGTAAACATCTTGAATTCTGCTAGTATGTAAAGGCTTTATAATGTAGCTCGGCTCTGAAAAGCAAAATCGAGATTAAATATTTTCAACTTTACCCCCATATCAGATCCACCTAAAGGCTCGTTGCCGGCGCAACCTCATGCAGGTAAGCTCAAACTAAGTCAAATTAATTTTGCTTTCAATTTTTACATATCGGAGTGTTTGTTTTGGATCACGATGGAGAAGTTCGGCAGCAACGGATTATTGATCCTGCCGTGTATGTAGGATATTTGATTGAGAATGCTGTTGGCTGAAAGATTGAGTTTGCAATGCCAATTGAAAGGAACGAAAAAAAGAGCACTCCAATTGTTACCGTGCACTTATTAGCAAATTGTTTTGGTCCATCTTACCATGGAACCCTAAAATTTATCGTATCATCATGATAACAATAATCACCAATTTCTAGGGATAGCTGCGGGCTTTTTAAGCGTAGATGCGTTCATGAGACGATAGAGTAGGTTCTAAACGGGGTTTTCTTCAAAATGAATATCACTCAGTTCCCGGAGTTGTATATTTCCAAGAGATAAGCGTTTCCATATCGACTATCGAAAAGTTTCCCTCTCTCATTATTTTGTTTAGGCAACAGGCCACCACCCATGTGTAAGGACAACGACGAAACGCAATGTCCCGCCTGGAAAAATATGGGTGAATGTTCAAAAAATCCGTCTTTCATGTCGGTGAATTGTGCTCTGAGCTGCGGAATATGTGGTAAGTAAATGATCTTTAAAATATGATACTAAGATTTTTTTCTGAGAGAAATCATACCAAAATTAATGTAAAGAAGTAATATTTCTAAAAACGATTTCTTCCAGCTTGCGAAGACAAGTATTCTAAATGTCCCCAATGGGCCCAGAAAGGGGAATGTTTTAAAAACAAGAAATGGATGTTGGATCACTGTCTTAGGAGCTGCCATGTTTGTGGTTAGTTGACACGTTTATTTCCTACAGCCGCTTAATATCAGTAACGATAGTTTTCTATTTATCAAATTACTGAACGCTTTTACTATTTTGAGTGAGATGTGTATCTTGAGGTATAGACGAGAAACTAGTCAACATGATAACTGAACCACCTATATGCAGAAGACGGCAAGATCTTGAAAATCGCACCTCCATTTGTATGCAAAGGTTTGGCCACTACGCACAAAACTACAAATGGACGACAGGTCAATAGGATTCGGTTAGGTCTAGGCATTCTTCACATATATGCAAATATTTATGGCTTTGGAGTTTTTAAATGCATGAATCAAACAATATCTAACTCAGGGAGAGTTGGCAAACTGCACATATTCGTTGCAAGAATCAAGCTTAGCTGGAATTAAAATCGGAAAGAAATCTCCCTAATGATAAAAATTTTCCACCGTAAAAAGTTGTTTTCTCTGGGCCACTTTTACGTAGTTTTAAGTTGTCGCCTTGATCAGGTTACGCAAACTTTGCAGTTTATCGTTAAAAGATAGATTCCATGTCGCCGTGCTTCTGTTCAGTTCTAGATCTCAGATGAAGTCTACTAAAATATGGTAACAAGATAAAGAGAAACACGAGGTGCAGCCGAGTGTGTCACTGAAGAAATGAAAGATATAAGATGATAAAAACTTATTTCTATTTATGCTATTTTTCTTCTTAAAGCTTGCGGCGACAACCATGTAAAGTGTGGACTGTGGGCCAAGCTGGGGGAATGCGGAAAGAATGAGAAGTTCATGACGGAACAGTGCAAGAAAAGTTGCAAGAAATGTTAGCTACACTGCATAAAAAGAAAAAAAAATTAACTGAGTTATTTGCATGTTCATAGAGTAGTTCATTGAGGTATTCGTTAGAGGGAATCTATATGTAGACATTCTAAACAGAAAAATACTAATAAATAGTTCATCTTGTCTTGAATAGACTCTTTGTCTTAGATGTAAAGTAGGATTTGTTGAGAAGTATCAAATTATGTCAATGACAAGAGCCTTATCCTACAACCCACCCGCCCCCCACAGCACTGCCAGCTTTTTGTCCTGTCGTTAGTTCTTTTTGCGTCCAGTACCGCTCTACAACTTGACGCGCAGTTTCTACACTATACCTCAAACAGATGAATTTTCATAGATGTTGCACCTTTAAAAAAGTACACACTTATAAAACACTTTTCAACTCTTTTTTAACCGGTCGTGTTTACTTCAGCTGCTCAAACGTCACTATAAGTGCTACATTTTCAGCAGTTGCGGCAGCTTTTCTTGCAGTGGCTCAACATCCAATTAGCGTTCTTCTTGCACTCACCGATGGATGCCCAGTAAGCGCAATTCTTGTCCGTATCGTCACACCCTGTTACAGCTGTAAAGTAATAAGGTGATTAAAAAACATAAGTTTGAGCAATTCCTGGGGACGACCTCTGCTTTCAAAGCATTATCTATCATGATATCGAGTAAGAGAACAAACATACAAAGGAACAAACTGAACAAAGCAAAAAACAAATCATAGCAACACAGAAGATAAAACTTGCACGTAAATGAGGAGGTGCGATTTATGTACTTTGAGTTGTGTTCATCAAATATTCTTACTCATTACTAAAAGCTTGAAGAAGGATCAAAGTTCCCTTCTTAATGGCAATGGCTCAATTGGACTAATAAAAATTACAGCTGGGTTCCTATTCAGCGATATGAAACATCCGACCGACGAGACAAAAATATAAGGACTACCAGGTGCGTGCTCCGTGAATTGAAAATATAACACTGAAATTGCGAGAAATGTTCTCATGTTCTATTTTTCAAATTTAAGAGAACTTGGTGTTCCCCTTTTAGTTTTCCAATGTTCTGTGTTCTCAAACCATGTACAGGTTTGCTGAGTTTCTGTAAAATTCATATGGTAATCAAATATGTGAAATAAGAGTTTGAATCACCAATTTAGCATTAAGATTACACATGGCTACCTTTGCAACTCTTGCAGCAAGTCTTTAGCATATAGTTTGGGTTCTTTTGGCATTCTCCGATTGATGCCCAGTATCGACAGTTTTTGTGACCATCCTGACAACCTTAAGTAGAATAGGAAGGGATGCAAACATAAACTTACTAAAACCAACATAAGTTTATTGAGAACTATTCCACTGCGTGTGCGCCACAAATGAGACGGTAGGATGCGGCAAAAAATGCTACGTAATTTCTGTGTTTGTGCTCCAAAGGTACGATAATACCATGACCTGTAAACCAATCAAGATTTAGGAACTGCAATATACAATAGCTAGTGTACAATCAAATTACTCTTTTCCACCCTTTCTGAAATTTATCTCTAATATTCATGGAAAGTGAAACTCTTCTTCTCAACCCAGCCTCAATAACTATTCCTGATCCAAATCAGATGTTAAACCAAAATGACAAGAATCGTATGTTGGCAAACTCGCTATTCTACAACAATGCTGCTACATTGCTTTCAATTTAGATAGCTCAGTTGTTCTTCAGGAAATAGTTTGTTTTTTGTTTTGCTTTGTCTTCAATGGCAGAGAAACAAGCGTAAAACTCACCGCTGTTTCCACCGCCAGTCTCGCCGGCTCCACCATTTCCGCCGTTTCCGCTAGCACCCTGGCATTTGTACAGAAGGTTCATCTGCTTTGCATCCATGCTACTTATTCCGTTACGTTGACCAATAGTCACCTGTCAGTAAAATTGATCATTCTTTGAAGTTTATCGTTAAAAAATAGACCCCTTAAGATAAGGTAATGGTAAGATCAAGAATAAGGTGGCACAAGTGATCCTACCGAATATTCAGGGTATTCTACAATTGCAAGGGAACCCTATAAAACTTTCAACCAAGTTTATTGCGCTATCGAGACAAAGTTAAATTTCCTCTAATGTTAATGAATCAATTCGTTACCCCTTGCTTATTGGGCAAGATCGTTGGTCTTCTATTGGCACTGAATGCATATGAGTCATAATGCATCACACTTGCGTAATCATACGGTGTACCCAGTGAGTCAATGGTATCTCTTCCGTACTTATTGAAGTTGTAGGCCATGCCTAGCGCGATGAGATAACGAAATTAAAAATAATTTAGTGCTTAACAACTGAACTCATCTTTTTCGTCTCGATGCGACATCATTGCCCCAAGTGAGGATACACTCGAGTTATAAGTCTTAATGTAGCAGTGTGTGTGTAATTGAATGATGCCTTTTTATTACGATTTGTATTAATAGTTCATTATTGTATTGTTTTCAAGAATTGCATTATAACTTTAGAACTGTTTGTGAATATGAAATATCACGTTAGTCAGGTAGGCTTAAATAAAAGAGGAAAAAAGGAAATTTAGAGAAATTAAAAGGGGTGAATTTCTCGTTGGAAAAGATGCCTGAGTCAACTCTATTTTCAGATATGCGTCATATGATAATTCCCTACCTTGCATTATATTTTGTTTGTATATGGTTACGTAGTTGTCTCGATCTGGACGAGATTGCTCGTGGTAAAATCCTAGAGCGTGCCCTAGAAGCAAGTGAAAGAGTAGCTGGTTTACAGAATGCATTTAATATATATATATATATATATATATATATATATATATATATATATATATATATATTGAAGAGTATAGGGTAGTGAATCCGGCATAATATTTATATATATATATATATATATTGTATAGGGTAGTGAATCCGGCTTTTTCTTAAGCAAATGAAAAGACTGCATATCGTCGAACTGTTAATTTTTGTTGTAATATACTTAAATGTGTATTGTGCTGTGCTTAAATCACGCTCATTTTCTGCATAACCAGCCGTTAGGCGGATGCCCTGCTGCAGTTCAGCTGGTGGGTGAACCCAGCGGTATAAGAGTGGTTGCGTGCCAAAAGAAGCGGGCTGTTAAAGCACACAGTTGCCCGCTGGGGAAAAAATTAAAGTTTGATGAACCCACCAATCTCGTGTGCTGCTGTTCCCACGCTCCAACAGCCATTGCCAAGTGAAATGTATTGGAGTCTCCTCTGATAACCCACTTCAGAGGAACAACTGTAAGATAAAGAACATTACAAGGTTTAAGTTCTCATTGACGAAGGGAAACCTGTAGGTCGAAAGTAATTAGTTTTGTCCTCGCGTGTAATCAGTAAGAGAATTAATTTCACTCAGTCTTACCCTTGGCCTACGTGGAAATAGGCGTACCCATGCTCTCGTTGGCGCTTTTGGAATCGTATGCAGGTCTTACTGGTCCATTGCTTCATGGCTTTGTTGAGAATGGACATCATTTTAGCGTCCCTCGCTACAAAGGAGGAATGCCTCTTAATACCCGATGTCATTTAGCGAATTTTCATCTTCAAGCTTCGTTTCTATTACAACTTTCGTTGATAGAGAAAGATGTTTATTCGTCTTGTCACGAGCGCGGGACAAAGAAATAACATCTGAGTCCACTTGAAAAATCGAATCTCAGACTCATGTTTACAAAACATGGCGCTATCAACATTGTTGATCCTGGCAATATGCAGGACGTGTGTCATATTTAAACTTCGTAGTGAGCCTCGCTCACCACAGAGTCTCTGTGGCTCAGTAGTAGAGCACCAGAGCGCGGAATCCGAAGGTCTGAGGTTCGATTCTTCACGAGGGCTTCAGAATTTTTCTTTGTTCCACGCTCGTGACATCTCTATCTATCTCTTTACTGAGCAAAAAAATTACCATCTTTCTTATTCTTTTCACAAAACTTTCATTGATCTTTGTTGTTTTTATGTGGGTGTCCGTTTTCTTTTCGGCGTTTTGAGAATACTTTCTTATTAAAACTCATCAGTCTGCACCTAGAAAGCGAGGCTTGGAGTGAAATCAAACATTCGGCCGTTAAAATCCTACCAAATGATTTCTTGAAGTCTCATACGAAAAACATGCACTGATGCATGCACTTTGGAGCTTTGACAGCGATTTGCGATCGAACTGAATTGAAATTTTAAACTTAGACCTCTTGGAGTTACCTTCAAGGGTTTCTAGAGAAGAAAGATCGGATCGGAGGATACTTGGAAACAACCAAGGCAATCTCTTTCCAAGTCTTATTTGATCAATCAAATTATGAGACTTGTAGAACGGCAATGTAAGTAACCCTATTTTACACGTTTTTCATATCTGTCCTCACCTATCTTCGTTGCAATATCATAGATCATTACCCCTCCTGGCCACTGCATATTCATGACTGAGCCTCTTGCGTTTCCCCTCGCTCTATCTACATCTAATCCTTTCATGGCAGCTAACCGCTGAGCTGTGCTTAAAATCATATCTCCTTCAAACAGTTTGGCATTTTTTATACCAATGTTTTCTGAGAAAGAAAAAAACAAGTGACATAATGAATGCCAAAGCCAATGAATAATCGACTCCCGGTGGCATAAGATTACAATAGAGAGATTAAGCACCGCGTTTACATGAAACGGTGAACGTCGCCTTGCATTGCCTTTTCACGTTTCGCGCAAAATAGCGTGAATTTTTATTGCTTTAGCTTCGCGTGAACTCACTTCACCTCGGAATGGACTGGAGGCCGTTTCGTAAGTCAACGTGAGATCTTGCATCTCTGCTGAAGGAAAGCGCGGAATTTGAAGAATTTTCAACATGAAACTTCATCTGCTTAAGTATGACTTGTCAGGTATAGTTTTGGAGCATTTTTTTCCGGTTCTTTATTTTTATTATTTTTACTCTCTGAGAGAAAGAGTGAAGAAAATCTCCTCATACACAGCAAACGCGAAACAGTTCACTTTTATGTTGAAACGGCAAAGCGTAACCGGGAAAATCTTGGTCACGTGATCACTCCTGCCGTTCATGTTTCAGAAAAAGCGGTGTTTAAGCTCTCCAATATCCCCCCTCCCCCTGCAGTTGACATAAAACTGAGTGACTTATGCTTTGCATTTCTGATTGTGAAAAAGGTAACCTTATACGACAGAGCTGTACTTTAAGTAGCTCATGTGATGATGGATACACACTGTTTAAATATTTATTAAAATATAAAATGATAAAATGAAATGACAGTTAAAAGTAGAAGGATAAACTATTAGAAAAAAAAAACATGAACACCTTTTGGCACTCGTTGAAATGGTTTTTCTTTTTTTTTTCCGTTTTGTTCCCGTGCTGTTCAGAATTAGATAAATCTCTCTAACCATTTCATATCAGCACGTCCTACTAATACTTTGAGATCGCTGAAACTACGATGAAAATCGTCAAAATTTTCCACTTGTTTACCCTTATTTTAAAATGAAACATGAGGTACATTGTGTGAAATTGATTTGCATCCTACATGACTGTGCTGTAACTTTTGTATATTTCTCTGTCTTCGTTATTCGTTTCAAACTCGCTATTTGAACCAAAATCGTCATCACAGGAGACAAGAAAATTATCTGACGGTTGCAACCGGGGACAAAACAAAGACATTGAATTTTTGTAAAAGTACATCAGAAACGAACTCTTGGCTTTCGAAGGATGGTTTCTTTCTTGTTTTGCACCTTTTTGATCCTGTGAAACGTTGAGTTTTCAATTCCATCTCGTTCGATGGAATAGCGAACCTCTTATATCTGATGCGGGAACTTGACTTTCAACCTCTATCCAGTGACATTAAAAAGGTAAGTATACAAAAAGAAAATACTACACACTGTGTATGATAATTTAAAAGCAAACCTTCTGGATTTCCAAGAGCTGTCGCGATGACAAGAAACGGTGCAATGAGCCACATCTTTGCACAGGATCGAGGTGTATCTCTGTTCACTGCCTCAGAGCCAAGACAATTCTAATCTTTAAGGCTTAAAGTATCCTATTTTACTTTTTCAAATAGTCGGCCATAGTCATTCACAGCTGTAAACCTGTGAATGTATGGCTGTCAAATATATTTATTGTTTTACTATGACATATAAAAATTGCTATTAAATTCCGATCAAACGCATTGAAATATATCACACACCAACCTGCGTGTTCAGAGCTGTGTAATCAGCGTCAGACCAACATTAAACATCCTCTTAAATGCTGTAAAACAGGGTTTTGGATATTTTGATATAAAAGGCAAAGCTGACTCTCCTGCGTTACATTTTCGATTAAATTTTGATAATCGTTAATTGTCTTATGTTACATGGCAACTTGACAGATTACAGCTATGTAATCTTGCTACAGATCCGCGTGGCCGTTTCTTCTTTTATTGCACACTTTCAAATAAACTAATGTAAACAACAAGCTGTTGCCGTTCAAATACGGCAATAAAAGAACATTGAAGTTCAGGGCAAAACTCTTGAGATGGTATTAAAGCATTCTACATCAGTCTATAGTTTATATAAAAACCTACCTCATTATATCTTAAAATTTCCTTTCTTATAAACCATAATCTTCGTTATCTGATGCGAGGAGCCTTGCTGGTTAGATGAACAGTTTTCTCTCTTGAGTCATGACAATTTTCGCCTTTAATTAACCCTAGACTCTGATTCTCTCGTCTTCCCTCCTCGAAATTTCAGTTCGGAAAACGAAAAAGTTTTAAAACGATATATCCTTGGGATGTGTTTCCTAGCATCCTTATATTTAGTGTAATCTTGTTCCTTTGGCAACACATTTCGCTAAAATTTCGATATACACCCGGCAAAAAATGCTGAATGTTATAAACCACTTGCTTATAATTCGTATCAGTTGACAACCTTCCCACCTCCCACCCTCCAAAAATTAGAAAACAACGACTTTAAGTAATTATCAAAGAAATAAATTTAAGACAGCAAGGTGTTATTGTTATGTGAAATACCATTTGAACAGGTTTTCTGAAGGAAAGATGGTAAGTTGATGGATACAAAAGGCACTCTAGAGTGGATTTGTAAAAATGTAAATGCATCAATAAAAATTTAAAATGATCTTCAAATGCCTAAGTTTGGCCTTAACAATAAATTTCGAAGAGCTGGTAAATGATTTGACACAGCCAGAGAAATAACTTCACCAATCATCAAAAAATAATTGAAATATAAATATGTTTCACTTACATAAATGATGGCATCCACGTCGCTGGACTTTTTGTTTCTTTTTTTTTATTTTCTTATTTTTATTTTTTTCGTTCAAATGGCTTTCTCAATAGTTAACCAGACAATTTGAACTACTGGTCGTTAATACATATTTTTTGAGGAGTTTTGAGGAAATTGAGATCTATCGAGGCTCAAAGTGAATGTATCGAGGTTTTCCTCTCCTAGTTGAAAGCCAGTTTAAGAGAATTCCAACTTTTGGCGTTAAAAAAAGATATTTGAAGTCGGAAAAATTAAGAGAACTTAAAACAAATTCAATAAACTTATCTTCCCTTTTCATATATTAATAATTTAAAGCTAATAAAATTTTTTCCCTAAAATATGCTTAAGAACATGAGGGACACAATACAAAAGGTGTAGAGTACATATAGTTATTGCAGGTAATCACCTAAGTTGTACTAAATTAGCTAAAAAGATGGAAATTACAAATTAAGGAACCTGGGATTTCTTCTCAGTCGCATTGTGCAGTCCGGTGGCAGCATATAAAAGAGATTTCAAATGGAGCATGGAGTCCCAGAGGTACTCAGGAACTATTTTAATGTGCTCGCAATGATATTTTCTATTACAAGAGCTTCCAACGGTATGTACTGGAAAAAAAAGGGTCAGAATAATTCTCAATAATGTGCATATTATGATTTTTTAAAGCAGTTGACCGATAACTCGAACTCTAAAGGATAATAAAGAGGTTCAACCTTTTGGAAGTTGAGAATAACTACTTTACTGTCTATATTACTTCTCTGCCTAAAATCTTTCTGCAGCATAAAAGGCTCGAGCCAAAAAAGAACGTTTTGAACAAAGGGTAAAGAAACAAAGCTTTGTGAAAACAGAATCCAAAAATGCTTCACAATGGAGTCAATATCATATTACCATATTATTATCATATTATTATTACCATAGTAAATATGCAATATTTTAATCGAGAGTTCCACAGCTCAACGACATGTGGATTCAACGATACACCATGCCATACATATGGAACATATTGTTCTAATAATGAAAAACTAACTATAATCGCATTGTACATTTTTGGCTCCAGAATGAATATGAGTAACCAAATAACCTACTTGATCAAGTTACTGAGCTTAACTTCGCACGGGATGACTCAGTCCGTTTTCACCAAAATAACCTAATATACAAAATCACTAAGGCTCCTAAGTCGCTGAGTATTTTTATATTTCACATCAGGTTTACTCTGATATAACACAAATCGGTGAAGGATGGACTCTCATTGTCCGATTTTCCAATAATGACGTCATTAACTGGATGTCTGAGACCGGCCATTGGTGGTATGACCAGCATGTTGGCATAGGGGCAACAACTAGTACTAATGAGAAATGCTGACATGATCTCACAGCCTTTTGCTTGGTCAGCGGGAGAAATTTCAAGATTACACACAGTAACGACCCCCAGTCACACTCCCAGGGGACTGCTTGGCCGGACAAACATTCCGATTTAAAATCACAAGTTATGGGGACTGTAGAAATAGTACCGTCTGGGCGAGTAAACGATGTCTGAGAAGCTGTTCGGTTCAATATGCAGAACAGTACAACTCAACAGACGGTTTTCAACAGGCGGAGTGCAGTGGAGATATCCAAAGCGCGGACAGGATTGGCTTCTGGTGTGACTATGAGCATGGTGATGGATCAGTGATGATGATTGGTGGAGAAGGAAATAGCTGCTCACGTGCAGATCACGGGATCGGAATCACTGAAGCTAACGATGCTTGCTTTGCTCCAAACTTGCAGTATTACCAGTATGACCAGCATGACTGGTTATGATTCTGCCAGCGATAGTTCCATATCCACATCGTACTCTTTGAATTTATGAATATTTTAAAATGGATAAAAACGATTTTTAAAAGTATTCTGAGCCGACAATCATGGTTCTACATTCACGTAAGACTCCTGGAGCTCGTTTATTCATGAAATATAGTTGAACGTCGAGCTGCTCTGCTTTAAGAAAGCAAAAATACGCTTCAGAAATCCGTTTTTGTCTTCTATGTTTTTACAAAGCAGCAATAACAAAGTAATTTAATCACCGTGGGTGGAAGTCAAAGGTGCATGCTTTGTAAACTGACGTTATTTTGAAAATGAACAACAAGACCGTTGCTAGTTTTGGTGGCACTTCACTTATTGTTCACTGCCCGCGTTTCTGCTTGTTTATTAAGAGTCATCGAGTGAAAGAGTCCCGAGAAGAACGAGCAAACTAACTTTTCCTTTACAAAATATGTAAAAAAATTGGTTAACAATCTCATAATTGTCGCTGGCCAAGAATATTTTCTTAGGCTTAGCAGCAAACACGACTTTGAGTCACAATAACTTTTTATATAAGGGAGAAGTAAAAGAGAGCTATTAGCTCTGACGCAGTTACACAAAATGGGTCAGAAGAAACAAAACACATTAAAAGAGTAGCTTGTTTAGATAAAAAGAAATGCTTCATCATCTGGGATTTCCGACATAAAAAGATCTAGCTAAAAACTAATCTGGTACTGATAAACAGTGCTCGATCCACTTGGTGTTCTCACGGATGAAAAGCAGTTTAGCTTTTATATCCTAACAGTTTATAGGTTAAATTGAATAGGTTTTCCTTTTTTGGGGTGATCATGCACATTCGGTTGAGTTGAGTAAATAGTAAAGCCTTTGATGCAAGAGGCAACAACTGACTGCGTTTTGTATTAGATCTCAATTGCAAGTACCTGGAATTAACTCTCAGACGATAGCTTCGGAAATTCTGGACGTAAGTTTCAAACATCCCCGAGAAACATATTGTGACGACATTATCTTGGTAATGTTCTTGTTTACATCATTTATGTTTTCAATCTTCCTGAGAGGAAATTGCCATGAAAATATTAAACTGGAAAGTCGCATGAAAGAGAGAAATCTCAATAGTAAAGAGCATACTGCCAAAAAGTTATACATATTTATTGCAAGGATCGAGTTGCAAGGGCTGAGAAAAGGCTTTTGATTTTCCCATTTAAAAAGATAAATTTTTCCGTACGTTTTTTTTTTCGTTTTTGTTTGTTTATTTGATTGCTGGTCTCTTAGATAGGTAAAATTACCTTAAAAGTGAGCGAATCCAATGCTTATGCATTACTAAGGGTGAGCATTCTGGTATAGCATACGTAATGAGGTAGAAGCAGTCTTGACGTGAACAAGAAGCCAACGACAAGAAGTCCCCGTCAGGAAAATTTACAGACCCTCGTTGTACTAGAGACAAGTTTGCACAACCAAAAAAAAACAAAAAGACGCTAGTTTAAGTTGATAAAATGCATCATTTGAAGAAGGTTAGTGTTTACACACAATTTGACCTCCGAGAATTGTTGAAGAAAACATCTGTTTTTGAAAAGACGTAATTAACACAGCTAAGAACTTTGAAACCGTATGGTAATCTATTTGAAGAGTGGAAACCAGAAGATTAAAAAGATATATTTGAATTTTTTTCAGAGTGTCGAAAAACGTGCAGGCTTTTGTGTGTCTAGAAAATATATCAAAGCAATGATGATAACCTTTCGACAAAAGAGTTTTATTTTCCATTTGTAAACTTTGAAGGGAATAAACAATACCATTTGCAAATAAAAAGACATTTGTCAATAAAAAAAAAAGCTTTTGTAATATTTAATCCCTCTACGTATAAGACTGCCAAGTTTACATCGCTCTCCTTTCAAATGAAGATATTATCTAGGTGTTTCATTAACGACGGCTCATTATAAACTTGTCGC